AGGTGTGATGTTTTGGACGAGGGATTACGGATATAGGCCTGTAGATATGAAATAATGTAGTAAGGCTTATATTGTATTGTTTATACTTTTGATCTGTACGAACATGACATCCCGAGTCTTTTAATGAAATACATTTCTATGGAAATGCTTTTGATAAATCTTTATCATATTATTGTTTTGGGACAAATTCCGCAACCCTTTTATTAAAAGATAACTCTGATTTTGAAATAAAGTATAAACAAAACCGGTCTTTTCTGGCCGTGATTTTGGGGATGTCACACATTATTATTTGTAAATCAAGAACTTTATAACCCTTTTAACCAAAAGGATATCCTATAAAAATGCATGCTTTTGATCTGGGCATAAATTTGTCCTTGTTGACAGATAAAGTTGAAACAAAACATAAGCAGCAAATAGACTTCATGTCATTTAAATTTACCCTTTTCTTGAATAAGAATTCATAAGGAGTACTATGATTCAGTACTTTTGAAGGAGTACAATTTATGATATGAGATGCGGTCAATACACATTCTCCTCAATAGCTTTTTCTTATCCCATATTGAAAAAATAATGCATGTGCTACCTCCAACATATGTTTATGCTTTCGTTCAACCACCCTATTTTGTTGGGGAGTGTGAGGACATGATTTTTGATGAACTATGCCAAGAGATTGAAAGAATTTGATACCCTCTTGATTGGATCCAAGTTCAAATGCATTATCAAAACGAATTTTCTTCACAATGATTTGAAATTGAATTTGAACATACTTGATAAATGCTTGAATAGTTGTAAATGCATTGTAGCACCTGGTTTCCGGTATGTGAATTTTATTTGAGCATTGCCCTATTTTAGCCTTGGACTCGGCGAGTCATAAGGTCCGACTCGCCGAGTAGGGACGAGACTCAGGACACGTTTAAGTGGGCGACTCGGCGAGTCCATATCCTGGACTCGGCGAGTCACCGCTGCTGGATGAAACCCTAAGTTTCAAGGGTTTGCACCCTATTTAAACCCTCATTCCGCCCCAACCTCATCCCCATTCACCCCCCAGAACTCCCCAACATCGTTTTCCCTTAATTCCTTGAGAGATTGAAGTGCTCTTGGTGTGTTCTTGAAGGTTTTGAGGAGAAAGAGGTGTAGATCAAGAAGAGGAGAAGGAGATCAGGCATCTTTGTGTCATTTCAACATATTCCTTGAGGTATAGCTCGTTTCCCCTCTGTTTTCAAGCTTGTAATCCCTTTTTTCTTCATTGGAGTCCTTCTTGGGCTCTTCCCCAAGCTTGTTTGTGCTTTGTGGGTGATAATAAGTTGTTAGCCTTTAGATCTAGGCATGATTTAGTCCCTGGAGCTTGGATCTATTGCCTTTATGGGGTCATATTGCATGAAAGCCCTAGATCTACCTCTTTTGGTGCACTTTGAGCCTTAAAATCCATATTGGTGAATATCTACACGTAAAGTTGGAAACTTTACGTGAGAATTGTGTCCTAGAAGCCCAAAATCTGTGAATGGCATGGACTGGAATCGAGCAAATCGGTGTATTTGATGGATGCATGGCTGCGACTCGACGAGTCATATATGTGACTCGACGAGTCTGGTCGCGAGTCACTGAACTGGTCCCTTTAATATGTATCGAGTTGAGCCGTGAGTCACAGGGGGTGACTCGGTGGGTTGGAAGCTGAACTCACTCATGATAGGACTCGGCGAGTCAATGCCCTAACTCAGCGAGTCCAAGGCAATCTTCATAGATCAAGAACAAACTCGGCGAGTTGTTCATACAACTCGGCGAGTCTTGGTATATGTGTTCTTCGGATGAAGATGAACTCGACGAGTTGTTCATACAACTCGGCGAGTAGGATGAAGGAGTTGAATGACAGTTTAGAAGATGAACTCGTCGAGTCATAGCCCAACTCGACGAGTAGAATCAGGGACCCAGGACAATAGTTTGCTAGGGACTCGGCGAGTGGAGATCCACTCGGCGAGTTGGGTCAACTAAAAGTTGACTTCGATTTGACTTAGGGCTAGAACAGGGGTAAAATGGTCTTTTTACCCAAAGGACAGTTAGCAGTGTATGATTAAGTATATTGTGGGAATTACAGCCGGGGAGTTTCCGGAGCAGCAGCAGCAGTAGTAGGTGATCAATTCCCACACAGACCAGCAATTATTTTGAGGTGAGTTTCCTTCCAGTAGTAACGGATCTAAGGCACCAAGGCCGGCCCGTATAGATGAGACGTTAGTATTATAGTGTGGGCCGAGCCCGTATCTATTAGTGGAGTTGATTGTGTTATATACCAGCATGATAGAACTGTTTACACTTGTTGTCTGTGCGATACTTGTATGATATGAGTTGGCAGGTGAGTGTGGGCGTGGCCCGTATCTCTCCGAGAATGGAGTGTGGGCTAGGCCCGTATCTCCCAGGTAGCGAAGTGTGGGCGGGGCCCGTATCTTCACGAGTGTGGGCGGGGCCCGTATCTCTCAGAGAGTGAGGTGTGGGCGGGGCCCGTATCTTCATGAGTGTGGGCGAGGCCCGTATCTCCTAATTGCATGTTATATGATAAATGCTTGTATGGTATGGGGTATTATGGGGGAGCTCACTAAGCTTTGTGCTTACAGTTTCAGTTTTGGTTTCAGGTACCTCCTCAGCTAGGGGAAAGGAGCCGGCGCGGTAGCAGCATGTCACACACACACTCTTCGGTTTCCGCATTTACGAGATTCACTGGGATTGTACTCTGATATTTGATGGGATGTATGGTTTGACTTTTAAAACATGGTTTGCGATGTGTTATGGTGTGATCAAACAATGTTTTTATTCATTAATGTTTTCTAAATTAATATTTTAAAAATGAAATTTTGGACATGAAAATTGGGTCGTTACATGCATTGTTTTTATGTTTCAATAAATGTACCCAAGTATATCTACTGTGATCATCAACAATGGTAAAAAAAATACCAAAATCCATTGTAAGTTGGGATCTTGTATGGTCCCCATATATCTATACAAAACAAGTCAAATGGATGTTGTGATACATTTTCACTTAACAAAAAGATAGTTTGTGTTGTATTACTTAAAAACAAGCAATACATGATTTGAACAAGTCATTTTTACATTCCTTATTTCTAAGAGATAGCAATCTCAAATTTTCAAATGGTAAATGACCTAATCTATTATGCCAAAGAGTTACATCATTCTTATTAAATGAAACTAACTGATTGACATTGATAGATGTAGGTATCTTCAAGTACTTGTCCCCACAAATGTATAAAATTTTATCCCTTTTTCCTATAATGAAGTTATCCTTGGATAAAGGGGTCTGCATTGCATAAAATTCATTAGTAAATATGATCCAAACTTTTAACTGATTAGTGATTTTGGCAATGGATATGAGATTGTGTCTGAATTATGGAACATAGAGAACTTCACGAAGATTAATGGTGTTGTGAATTGGAACATCTCCAGTCTAAAAAACCGGTAAGGATCGACCATTTGGCAGTGATATGGAATGTGGTTGTGAAAAGTTCATTAATGAAGAGAACAAAGTTTTATCCAAACAAATATGATCCGTTGCTCCCGAATCAATAATCCATGATGATTTTTCACCACATGAACCAAACAACACTTAAAAATATATGACACATGATTTCCAGAAGAATCGATATATTTACATGTAGAGTCCATTGATCCATCAATTATCACAGAGTTGATTTGAGTAGATCTATTGTTATTGTTCAGAAGGTGCATCAATTGTCTGTATTGCTCAGGTGACGTACATTGAGAATTATCAGCAACATTGTTTGCCATTGAGTCCATCTTTTTTGACTTTGTGAATTTAAAATCAGCTGGAAAACCATTAAGTCGATTTGTAACATGTTGACTTCACATGTCCTGTCTTCTTACAGTGAGAACATCTTAGATTTCTTTTTGATGAATGATTGACTTGCATCGCCATGGCCTCAGTAACAATATTTGGATTTGAAGAAATATTTCTCTGTCTTTCTTCATGATTTAACAAAGAATGAACGGTAGCAATATTAGGCAACGGATTCATCATTAAGATATGTCCTCTTATAGCTTTATATGAATCATTTAATCCCATCACTAACGGAATTAAACGTTGTTCTTCCATGAATTTGTTGAGAGCATCAGCCGATTCACATGTACATGCAGGAACTTCTTGTATCATTTTCAGTTCATCCCATATCTTCTTTATTTTTTAGTAATAGCTTGAAAATCCTCAAATCCTTGATTAATAGAGTATAATTGTTTTTGTACTTGATAAACCAAGGCACAATTGGATTGAAAATACCTTTCTCTTAATTCAAACCAGATCTTATTTGCTGTCTGAAGAAACCATACGCTTTCAACAATTTCTTTGTTTAAAGAATTTAAGATCCATGAAATAACCATTGAATTAACTCTATTACATGAGTGAATGAGATTTGAATTTGCTTTAGGAGGATTCAAAGAGCCATCAACAAAACAGAGTTTGTTCTTCGCTGAAAGAGTTAGAGTCATCGATCTCTTCCAAGCTGCAAAACCTGTTCCGTCAAAGAGTTTTGACATCAGAATCATACTTGGATTATCAAAAGAACTGTGATAATAAGTACTTGAAATCTCAATGTTAGATCCATTGAATTCATTTGGTTGATTTGGAATAGAATTTGACACAATTGAAAAACAGAGATCAAATGAGACGAACACAAGACAACTAGAATGAAATCAGGAACTTTCGTTCTGATACCATGTTGAAAGATAAATTAAGAATTGATTGAAAGAGAAATTGAGAGAAAAAAATTTTCATTATTGACGAATAACTTTACAACATATCATCATTATATATACAAGAAAGGAAAATGTTGCGTATTAGTTACGCATAGCATGACATTTCTATAACGGAAATTATAATCATTGACTTGTTGACTTAATTGTTAGACTTTTCTTCTCCAATATCTTTATCTACGAGAGGATATATTCTCACGTATATAATTATGACATTTTTGACGTGCCAAATGTCATAACCTTGCGGTTGAAAACTGCATGATTAAACGTTAATCCAGGCAAAATCTATCCCTAATAGACCTCTTCTATTTTTGGAAGCAACATATGTCTGTACAATTCTACCAAACTACGCAAAAAAAATTGAAACCTCGTTTAGTATCTACAAACCTATCTTCTCCATCTTTCTCTCTCTAAACAACCCTAGAGAGAGAAGGAGGTGGATCATGATCTACGTATTTCGTCAACATAGGTCATGATCAATTCGTTTCTAGTCATTTCATCTCTTTCTCTGTCAACCCACAACCGATTTAACCGTCCTCAACAACCTCTCTCTTCGTTTCCTAAATCATTCCAAAAATGGCATTATCGAAAAGATCATTCAAGAATTTCGTGGTAGAAGAGCTCGGTGAATTCCCTCATTTCCTGCTATGGGCTATTCTCGAATGGATACTAATCGCATCTCTTTACATCGATGGGCTCCTTGCATTTCTCTCGAGCGTATTCGCCAAGATTTTCGATCTGGAACCACCATGCGTGCTCTGCACTCGTGTCGACCATGCACTCGTGTGTAAGGACCCGAATACTTATTACAACGACTCCATATGCGAGTGCCACAAAAAGGACATATCTTCGTTAGCATATTGCCATATTCACAGAAAACTTGCGGACATCAAGAACATGTGTGAAGGTTGTTCTTTTGCGTTTGCAACTGAGAAAGAATCTGATATACAGTCGCTTTTGGGGAGGACGCAAAAAGAGAAGGATGGGTTTACTGAAGACGATAAGAAGGTTTTGAAGCCTGTGAATAGGTGTTCGTGTTGTGGTGAACCTTTGAAAATGAGAGCTGTTTCTAAAGATTACACTAGAAGCCTTTCAAACCTTCGTGCTTCAACAGCATGGAAAACCGAGGATTCACGGTATACAGAGCTCAGATTTTTATCAGATACCGAGCCAGATATGCCAGAGTACCACTTCGGTTTAAGCACATACGCTAAATGTGAGTTATTTTCACTACTTGCTAGCAGAGATACACAAAGACCGGTTTGAAGTGCAGTTACAAACGACAAATAACTTAATATATATTTGAAAAATCCCAAGTAAAAATGTTTTTTTTTTGGTAATAATTTAAAACTGTTCAAGAAGTTAATACTTTTGTTCGTGCTTTTTTAAAAAAGTATAGCGATATTAAGTGCTAAAAGTTTGTATAAAAATAAATAATTTTAAATCTTTGGACAATTTTTTTTTGACATAATTATAAATTTTTTTTGACTCGATGTGAAATTGATCTAAAACAGTTTGTTCAGGTTTAAAGTTGATTCTAGCCAGCTTTAAAACTGTTCCTTGCGTAAGATTTTTTGATGAATGTATATATGTTAGAAGTTGACAAGAAAATTTGAACAATTACATTGCTACAGATGACGAACTGCATGAAGACTGTTGTAGAACTCCAAATTTGTTAAAAAGTAACAAGTTATTTGGGATCCCACTAACAGATTCAGGTTCAGTTAGCCCGAGACGTGCTAACAGGATTTCAAGAAAAGCATCAATGGAAAAATACGATTTGGCATCAGACAATGATGAAGCTTCAGGAGATGGTGATTCGAGTCTTCAACAGATAAAGAAACAAGCACGTATAGATCAAAAGACTCTTATGAAATTGTCTATGGAACTTGATGAAGAAAGAAGCGCTGCTGCTATTGCAGCTAATAATGCTATGGCAATGATCACACGGTTACAGGCTGAGAAGGCGTCTGTGCAAATGGAGGCGTTGCAGTATCAAAGAATGATGGAAGAGCATGTTGAGTATGATAAGGAAGCTATTCAAATACTTAAAGATTTGTTAGCTAAGAGAGATGAACATTTAAAGGTTATGGAATCAGAACTTCAGAGTTACAGAGAGAAATATGGAGAAATTAGGAAAGTAGGTAGCGATCAATGTGAAGCTGATGCCGATGAATATTACCAGGAATGGAGATCTCAATCTTTGTCATCTTTTAGTGAGAAATCCGAGTCCCGAAGCACTTTAAAAGATGATCATGATCATGAGTTCGAGAGCCCTTTGGTGAAGGATGATGATGATGATTTCGAGTCATGGAGCCCTCTGGGAACCGATGGCAAAGATGGTGATCAGAGCCACTCCGGAAGGGGCACCTCATCGTTAGATTTTGAAACTGAAAAATATCAGCTTTACGAGATGTTAAAGAATCTTGAAAATCATATCCAGACATGTTCAATGGAGGATGAATGGGAGGATGATGAAGATAAAGATATAGGTACGTAATTAATATGATTTCTATTCTTTACTTGAATTCATTGTTTTTTACTTTGTTCATTAAAGTTCATTAATTATTAATATAGCTTTATTGTGGATTGGTAGTTAAAGAAAATAGGGCAACCCTAAATAGAGAGATAACCGTAATCAGGGAAAGATTGAGAGCCTTAGAAGCAGATAGCGGATTCTTGAAGCATACTGCAATGACACTTCAAAAGGGTGAAAAAGGAGCTGAACTTCTAACAGAGATAGCTCAACATCTACGGAAGCTACGTGATCACTCTGATCAATTAAACAGAATAGATGCTTAAATTTTTCTATACTTGTATGCTAACTAACAACACTATTCTCAGTATACTACCATGCATGCATGCATGATTTTATTTCAGAAAAACTTATAATATTTCTTTTGTTTGTGATATTTAGGTTTCTAGGTACATATGATATATTTTGGAAGGAAAAACAACCAAAGGAGCCAGACACAAGTTGTGGGGAACTCTGAAATCTCAACCTCGTGTTATTAGGATCCTGGTAATTTTCAAGACAATCAGAGACCTCGTTAAGGCCCATAATTAAGTCTATGAGTTTCCCTAATTTTAGACCATATATCAGTTTCAGCTTCACGGTTTTCCAGTTTATGTAACTTATTAGTTGGTATAAGTAAAAAATTTCAATTTCTATGTCATAGTAGATGAGATGTGAATAGTTGCATAGGATTATCAAGAAGTACACATGATCCAGCTATAAAATAAAGTTGTATAGCCGGATTATATATACATTGCATGCACCACCTACAAACCAACTATCTATTAACAAACACAGCCGAGTAAAACCAAATGTTTTACACCCATCATAAACCAATTTTTTATTAAATAATAGTCCATAAGTTTCTAAGACATAAAAAAGATTAAGATATGATAACTCATATATATATATATATATATATATATATATATATATATATATATATATATATATATATATATATATATATACACACACACACTAATACCCCCAAATTCAAACCAATTTGCGTTTGAAAAGAAAGAGTATGCCTAGCCTAGGTTTCAATTTCAGTTTGCGAAGTTGTAGGATGAATGGCCTTGCTCAAGAATGGGAGGCAGCAGTTGGTGGTCAAAGAAGCATGATGACCATTGTCGGGTATGGTTTCTATAGTTGTATTGTGTGCATTGATAGTTGTTTTGTTCTTCTTTATCTTTTATGATTAGAGTAACTTATGGGATGAATATTCTTAAATTATGAAAAAGCAGAAGCAGATGGTAGAAGAAGGATGATGATTGCTTTGTTTGGTTGTACCATATGGGAGGTTGTGGTCTTTCTTGTTCTTCTTTTCCTGATTTGAACAAGTTATGCTTCACCGGGAGTTTTTGCATAGCACTGACTAATCACATAAGGCATAATAGAGGAATGTGTTGCGAAATGAATCATTATAACTGTTAATGACGTTCCTAAACCCAAGTTGGCATTATTATATTAATGAGATAATGCAACATTTTGAGAAAAGTTGTAATTTTGCTATGTTGTTTTATGCATTGCAACCTTTTTAATTTCCTAACCATAAGGAGGTTTTTTAGTTGATTTAGTATTCTCTTGTATGGATATGTATAAACTTGTTAAGAAGCGAGAATATAATTTATTCTGTCTAATTTTCATGTAATTCCATCTATTTTTTATTTTATTTTATTTTTATTATTTTTTTATCATTTCATCTATTTTTTCTATTTTATTTATCATTTCATATATATATATATATATATATATATATATATATATATATATATATATATATATATATATATATATGGGGGTGGTCTTTATCACTTTTAACAAAACTCTTCTTATCTCCATGTACCAAACGATAATCTTCCTTATCTCCGCTCTCTCTTCATTTGAGTTCATACATTTGTTGACACAAAAAGGTACATCGGAAAGATTCTAATTTGAGTATCTTTCTTTATCGTCAGTATGGAAGAAGTATTTCTTTTCCCTCCTTTCATGTTCTTTCCTTGAAAGACAACACATTGAGGTTGATTAATAATTTCACCATCTTCAAAATTATCAATATTCAGTTTAATAATGACTTGCGAACATTTGGCTTTTTCTTGAAAAAATTAGTGAAATCAAAATATGTTAATGCTAGATTAGCAAAATAACAAGCATTGGTGCTTTTCATGTAACTATACCCAATGATATAAGAAGCTTTATCCCAATGATGTACGAAGCTTTATCTTGTACTTGATCATTATTCAAATCTACCATAATCTTTGTAATAGTGATGAGATCATTCAAGCTCATCAAGGGAAAGTCAGCAATGGTGAATTCAAAAAGAACATTGTTAGTTCTGACAACTTTATATCGATAATTTTGAATGACTCCTTCGAACATGATATCAGGAGTTATCGATAAAAGTTTAACAATCTTCACCAAGGATCAAGCATCTTCTTCTTTCTATCCAAGAATTGCATGAAATCTGATTTTCATACTTTTATACTCCTTCGTATCATGGAAATTCTCTACAAGCTTGAACTGACCAGAGGTGAACATCGTATGATTGAATGGAAAGTCCAATAGATTGAAATATGTGTCTTCGATGTCATAGCTTCTCTTTGGTCTTTTCTCAAACGCATCAACTTCTCCATAAAAAACATTATCAAGTGTTTCATAACACCACACCTTATTTGGATCTCTCTTATCAAGACCAGGTGAGTCATTTGCTCGCATTCTTATAATGTTGTTAAGTTGCTTCATTCTTTTAACTTCAAGCTGTTGAAGTCTCTTTTTCTCTTCTTTAGTAGGTTCACTTGAACACCTTTTCCTTTTCCTTTTGATTCAGAAGTTGTAACAAGTTTAACATTCAAGAACCTAAGCCTCCTTCATTATGTTCAACCTCTTCTTCGATTAAAGCTTTGACATATCAACTTTGACATTTGGTGTTGCTTTTGTTGTCGAAATTGTCAAAATAGGTTCATTTGAATTGAAAATGGAATTTGCATAGAAATTACCATCCCGACAAATTTTCCCTCATCGTCACCTTCATCTTTCGATGAACCATCCTTATCTCCCCCTTGTGACACAAGCATTGATGGGCGTGGAACATTAGTGGGTAATCGAAGAACAAGAACCAAAATTGGAGCAAGTTGAGTTTTAAAACACGATTCCATTGAAGAAACCATAGAAGATATTTGTTCTTGAGAAATCGAAGTCATTGATGGAATATCAAACTTCGGTAAGCGATCATGAAAACTTGTAAGAGCGTTATCAATATTTGTAAAAACTTTCCCGTCAAGTTCTTTCATTAACTTCCATTCTTCAACATAGTGTTTATTGAAAGCACGAATATCTTCAATTAGTGTTCTTGTAGCACCAAGAAGAACATCAACATTCTGTTGAATTCCTATACCAAACTTATCAAGCTTCATAATATCTTTAGAGACCAAATCAACAAAATCCTTAATTTTCAACTCAATAGACTCTTTCGAATCAGTCACCATGTTCTCAAAAGATTCATGTCTCTCATGAGCCATATTTTTTATTTTTATAATATCATAGGTGAAAGAGGACATGTTAGCAGAAAGACGAGTTTCCAACTGAGAAATTGCCTTATCAAAAAGATTCTTCATCTCCATTTCTTGACCTTTCAACAAAAATTCAACATCTTCTCTAACCATAGAAGACGTTGTAAACGCAGACGAGTCATTCAAGAACTGAAGAATCGTATTCAGCTTCAAATTTAAGATCTTGTATTGCTTGCTAGGCATTATATCATGATCTTCTACATCTTCTTCTTCTGGATCAAACTCGAATTCAGAAAACTCAATATATTCATCTTCTTCAAATTTTTTTGTCTTGATCAACGAATTGAGAAGAAAACAATGTAGGAATGGGTTGTTGCATGATATTGTCAAAGGTAGGAGAATGAAATGGATCTATTGTAGGTGGAATGATCAAAGATGGTTGTGGTGGTAAAGTACTTGATGAAACTGGAATAGGTGTCAAAGGATTCATCCATATTTACATTTGAGTCCTTGTCATATAAGTTCTCAGGGATTTTTGAAGACCTATCCTCCTCCGTACTGGACTTGGAACTAGGACCTTCAGGTGGAATAACACTTGTCGACCTAGGAATCAAAGTCGAAATTGTTTCATGATTTATAATGTTTTTATCCCCACTAAATGTGTGTACAGTGACATCTGGGTTGCTTGTCTCCTTGGTATTCGATTCGATAGTGACATCCTTTCACGGTGAAACCTGGAATATGAGATCATCAATTTCAATAAGCTCTTCATCTGTCACTTTTCTAACCTTAACACCTTCAACAACTTTTGTTGTTGTGGAAAACTCTTCGATTTTTTGAGCTCTTAGCTTCTTAAAATGTTTCAACAACCTAATAGTTTTATGCTTCTTGTCCCGTTGTTCCTCCTCATCAGTTTCTTCTTTAATAACAACACCTTGAAACTTTAATTTGGATTTCTTCTTTTTATTAACCACTTCCTTGGAAACACTTGTATCGATTGTGAATTTGGGCTTAAATGGTGCTTTTTTTTTTCGTAACAACAGGATGAGCTTTAGTTGTAGTCTCTTTCACTTTAAATGTAACCTTCTTAGAAATGGGAACTGAAGAAGTAAGATTCTAGGATGCTAGAAAGCCTGCTTAGGAGATATGCCTTTTATGCATGATATGTGAACCGGTAGAGATGCCTGATAGCGAGTTGACTAATTATCTTTAAGATTTATAGGTGAGGATGGAATGATCTTTATGATGCCTTATTGTTAGTCGGTCTAGTTGATCGAATGTTGCTTGCTTTGTGGAATGTGAGGCCTATATTGATACCAATTAACTATTAAGAGAATACGTTCCGTTGTATGCCACAAAGATTAATTAATTTTAGATTGCTTGATTCGGCTCTACATCATAGCTAGTGTTTGAGTTCAACCATTATAGGGCAAGATCTTTCTATCGAAAAGATTGTTTAATATATTTTGCATGTAATTATGTTCGTAAGATAGTTAATTGACATTGGTAGTTTCCTTTGTGGATGAGAGCAATGTGAAGTAGGGTTCCTAGTAGATTAGGAACAGTGTTAGAACATGCTTATATGGGAAGTGGGATCCTAAGAGAGCCTAAGAATTACCTTAGCATGCTATTTAGTATGATGACCTATGACGGTAGCCATAGAAAAGTGACTTAGAGGATCCGGGATGGCTCTTGAGGAAAGTATGGATAGGCGTGGAATGTGTTGGGTTTTGAGCATACTAACACTCCTATGGTGTACATGCAACCCTAGAAACCTTGGATCTATGTTTTCTCTAAAATACATGCAAATTTGATTTCCAAGGTTTACAACCTAACTAGCATGTTATGGGGTACTTGTAATACAAAACTTTAAGTAGAAAAACATACTTTTCTTTTGTGGTTGAACGCTTGGAGTTTTAGAGCCTAACACCAATAGTGTGGATGCCTCAAGTGGTGTCACAAATCACCCAAAACAACTTGGAAATACTTGAGAGAATCTAATTCTTGCTAGATGTAACATCCATAAAATTCAAGCCAATTTAAATTTTTCAAAAACAACCCATATTCATTAATTCATTGCAAAAAGGTTTTCAATACAATTATTATCAGAGTCTCCCCAGAACCATATTATAAAACATAAACATGAGGAGTGGTACGATCACGTATTCGCCTTGCCATGGTCTCCTGAAGTACCTGAAAAACATTAAACCACAACTGTAAGCTCGAAAGTTCAGTGAGATACCCCCAAAATACCAACCACATATACCATACACATAACATATCATATCATAACAGAACAACCATGCACTACGGGTCTACTGTGTGACTGGTCCACCGCATCGGGCCTTCAGTCCACCTGGTCCACCCTCCGAGTCTAGCCATATCCATCGAGTATGCAGTATGGTTGGTCCACCCACACTGGGCCTTCAACCCACCTGGTCCACTCTCTGAGTCTACAGTATGACTGGTCCGCCCACACCGGGCCTTCAGTCGGTCTGGTCCACTCTCCGAGCCTTGACACCTCTGGTCCGCCCTCGTGGGGCCTACAGCCTATCCGGACCGCTCGCTGGGCCTTCAGAATATCCGCTCCGCCCTGGTTATGTTGGCCTACAGCACAAAGCAGGACCCACCTCAACCCAACCCCAGTCAACCAACCATGTGCACATAAACATATAACCACATAACAATTAATCATCAGTCAACTGATCTAGCAGATCACGTACATAGCATATTCTAAACAGGATACCGACCTAACCGGTCACTAACATATACCATCCTAACTACCAGGATGCAAACATAACAAAGCAATAACATAACAACAATACCCAGATTACAATCCGATAAAGGGTCGGCCTTGGTGCCAAGAACTCCACCACTGATAATACCAAAAGACTGAACTCAATAAATACCAATAATTACCAAATTACCCCTGGAAGTCAACTGGTTAACTCTCGGTCAAAGTCAAAGTCCTCAGTCAAAGTCAAACTTCCTGACTGACTGTACTCGCCGAGTCAGCCCGTTGACTCGTCGAGTCCCTATGCTCTGAAAACTCCCATATCGCGACCCAACTCGTCGAGTCGCCCCAAGACTCGTCGAGTCCCACGAACTCTGAGTCACTTCCTGCTCAACTCACCAAGTCGTCCCTCGACTCACCGATTCACAGCTCAACCAAAAAGGTTAGGACTTCACGACCAGATTCACCGAGTCCAAGAACAGACTCGCTGAGTCCAAGGCAATCTTCAACAGACTCGCCGAGTTGTTCTTCCAACTCATCGAGTCCCTGCCTATCTTCATCCAACTCGCCGAGTACACCCATGTGACTCGCCGAGTACATTTAGTTCTTAATCCATACAGTGGATTTCCAAGCCATGCAGGGGCTCCAATCCATAGATCCAACCTCATACAACCTTCCCTACACATAAAGGTGCAAACTTTACGTGAAACCATGGGGAAATAAGCCCAAAATACTCTAGGGCTAAGGCTTAAGGCGAAGGGACTTCACCAACCACTCTAGGACAACACCTTTACAACAAATAGGATCATTACAAGCTTGGATTTTAAGTTTCAACTTCAGATCTAGCTTCCAAACTTGAAATTGATTCCACTTAAGCCATAATCCCCAAAATAGCAAACAAGAACGAATCTAGAAGAAGGAAACTCACGGTAACAGATTGTTACCTCAGAAATGATCCAAAGGAGGAGTAGATCCATGATCTACAATGATATCCAGATGCTAGCCTCTTGATCTTCAATCTTCTTATTCTCAATTTCTCTTCCCAAGCTCTAATTCTTCATCAATGGAGGTTATACACGATTTAAGGGTTTTATGGGTATTGGAAGGTAACAAAGAGGCTGAGGGTGGGTTATAATGTCCTTTATATAGGGCAAAACCCCGAAAATTAGGGTTCTCTCCACCCAACACCAACTTGTCGAGTCACTCCTTCGACTCGATGAGTTGGTCACTTAACACATGACCAGATTCACGACCTGACTCGCCGAGTCTACCCATTGACTCGCCGAGTCGGTCTTCCATATTTACACTAAGCACCCTGAACTTTGCTCTTCTGAACTCGGGGTGTTACAATTCTCTCCACTTAAATTAGGCTTCATCCTCGAAGCCTGCTGTAGCACATAATTCCAGTAACCATAACCCCACACTGCAACCTCGGATCTCTACTGACTCAAATCCTTCCAATCACTGCTATCATCCCAAAAATGATCCAACTCCTTGCTTACCGATTTATATCAACTATCTCAAGCCGACCACCAGCTCTTTCCTCTGATATCGACACTTATCACCCTTGATCTTTATATACACTTGCCTCTCGCAAGACTAGATAATACCCTGAACCATCGAGTTCTGATCGGGTACTCACTGCTACTAACTGCTATCCCTTGCCTCGTTTAACACAACCTTATCGAGTTCACTGCTGGGACTTATCCCTCTTCCTTTCCGAATTTGACTCTACTCTTTTCATGCTGACAGGATGATACATCCTTCAGCTCCCGAGCACTCTCATGAGCTCTCTTCCGCAATCGCGTAAATGTGTTGACCCTGCTCTAGCATCCTTGGGTTGGGAACCCAACATACTGACGATACCTCCAAACATCCCCCAGGATGAACTTCCACTACATTCATAACCTCCTGATCACAATCATACTGAGAATCTGAGACTCCACCCTTGCATCCCTTCTGAACTCCTCTGGTTCCTCATTACTGGAAACCCTTCCGTGATTCCAACCGATATCCAACCCGGATGTACTTCCATATCATTGGCACAACATAATGCCCAATAACCATCCTGGAATACTTCCAATCATCCTTTCCCGCTACTGCTCACACTTCCGTGAATCAACACTCCCTCCCGGAGCTACATACCGTTCCTTAACCAAGGAAATCTACCAACCAGCCTTGCTACTTCAAGCAAGTACCACGGTGATCACACCCCCACTCTACATTATCTCTTGTAGAGTAACCGCTACTTCACGGATTACACATGCTCTAGATCTGCTCACTAGGAATCTCAGGTCCTCGCACTGCCTTCCACTAACATGATCAACACCCGAGGCCAGACCTACCTGTTTCATCGCAACGAGCTCAATTCATCACCTCATATGGATCTATCAACACATACAGAGTCTTCAGCATAACTGGACCGCCTTACCAGGCCTTCAATTCATTTGGACCACTCTCAGAACCTTCAACATGTATGGATTGCCCTCCAGGGCCTTCAGCCTGTCTGGACCGTTCTCTGAGCCTTCGGCTTGACTGGTACGCCCATCGGCCTTCAGTATCCCCGGACCACTCAGACTAACATACATCAACTCTAACTCTCTTTCCCGGGAATCTCTCCCGAACATACTGTTCTAGCCCTCCAGGGGCTCCAAACTCTAACTCCATTCCCATACTCTGATCCCGGCCTAATCCTAGGCCTCTCATTAACCAATCACCTTTCCAGGAACCCCGGTCTGTACCCCGTCCCATCTGTCTGCCCCTTACTCATACCAGTCCACACTCTTGGCTAATTGAATACCGATGAATCCCACACAGCTAATCAAACTCAAATGCTTGTCGATCCTTTAGAGAATCATCCAACTCTCCCCCACTTAGAACACTCACCTCCAAATACCGGTGACTCATCCGACCTAGAACAATCATCTCTATCCCATACCTTCCTTATCCATAAACTGCTTTCCTCTGAATGAGTAACCATCACAAAACTTCTCTTCCGACATTGTACATCTCGAATC